CGGGGGCCTGTCCCGCCTCGCCAGCCTGAGGCGCGCGGAGGGGCCGCTTCTCCATGACTCCCCCCGCCCTCCATTTTCCGGTCTTAAGCTCTTTTAGGAGTGACTGTTCCCCTCCACAGCAGTGGTGAAACTGCGTCTGGAGTCGTTATTCCCGTCGCTCCTGCCCGGTACAAGGCAGAGATCGTAAACTGGAGGGAGTCCAGCACAGGGTCACAAAAAATGAGGCCTTCCTGGGTCGACTGTGTTATTAGAAATAGCGAAGACTTCCCTTGCCTAAAAAATAGGCTTGATAATGGACATCAGATGAACTTAGTGGCCTTCCAACCAGCAAGCTACTGTTCTGAAAATGTACTTTATGTAGTGTTCAGGAAATTCTGGTTTATTTCCCCAACTGGGTATAGAGAGATCTTCAAAAAAACTCTTGATTCTGTGGTCTGGAGTTGAGTTCTGTAGGAAATTAATTGTTAACAGATTTTAGGGGGTTATGTTAACTTAGTTTAAAATTTGTTCTAACTTCATGATAGTTTTAAAGGCCCTTTAATTGGTAATCACACTTTTAGAATGGATTAATTATGTGTGTCAAAGGGAAGACAAGCATTATTAAAAGGTCTTGTGTGCTGTTCATTTCTATTAATTATAGCCTAATATCTTTCTCCATTTAGATCGATTTTATATGCCTGCGTATTTAACAGTAAGTGCTATAAATGAGACTGGTAATAGTGTATTCCTATTTTTGGTTGTCCTTGCTGACTATGCAAGAATATTACTGTAACAGTAACTTAGGAATGTGTCTGGTCTAAGGCATATTGGTAACTTTTTTCACTTCAAGCACACTTTTCAAGTGGGTTCTTATGAAACTCAGGTTTTCTGTATATACAAATTTTGCTGTCTTTTTTCTTAATTCCTCATCTAATGAATGTGTAGCCGCTAATAGTATTAACAACAATATCTGTATGCAAGTTCTATGAAATACACATATTTCATCTTATATTTCAGTATGCTTGTGTTTGCTGCACAGATCTACCTTGGCTTATAGATCTTGCATTGCGAAAGCATGTAGGTGAATATGCACATTAGAATACATAAAAGAAAGTTTTCACAGTAGTCAATACACGAGAAATAATTATCCTTGCTATGCTGTTTATACGTGCATACTACAGTGAGGCCTTCTGTTTGTTCCTTCAGTTTTATCATAATAATTTTTGTGTACAGTAATGATGAAAACAAGTAGAGTATTAAAATTCATTTCCAGTTGGATATGTTTAGGCGGATTTTTTCAGGATATAGTATTCAGGTAGTACCGTTACAGTCAGATGGCTTCTTGGTCATTTGAACATTTGACAATGTTCTGTAGTTGTTTGGTATGTCATGTGCTTATTTAGGAAAAAATACAAAACAAAACCAAACCTTTACCTATTGCCAAGCTTGATAAGGGACTTTATAATCAGCTTTGTAATGGTTAACTTTCCTGGATGTAGGAGTGGGGTTTTTTTGTTTTTTTTAACCTGCCACATAGTTTTTCACAGGTGAAATATTTCACTTCAAAATGGATAAACCTCTCGTTACATACATAGCCTCTTGCCAGCATGTCAAGAAAAGCAACCATTTTACATTACCTTTTCTGGGTTGTTTTTTTTTTTTTTTTACTTTTTTTTCCTACTAATACCTTCTCAAACTGACTTCTAAAAACAAACAAAAAATGTTCGTGGGTTAATATTGAGTAGGAACGTTAAACCTCTGAATAAAAGTCTCATTATGGAAGTGTTGGTATGAAGTACTATGTAATATGACTCCATTATTGCTAATGCGTATATGACGCACAATTGTTTGTGTGTTTTATGATGAGCCGCCTTTGGCATGTGGTTGCAAAAGCATTTCTGTAAGGCTCAAGACCTAGCAGAAAAAGTTAAGTGTTTGTTAATTTGTGTGACTATTTCTACATATTGCAGGCAGGAAAAAGAGCTTTATAAAAAAGTATTCAAAAAATGCCACGTAGTTAGCTCTGCTGTTGATAGTTCTAATACTTTCAAAGCTTTCAAGAAACTCATAGTTTTTTCATATTAATAAAATGTGATGTGAGAGGCTTGTCAAATAAAACAACAGTTCACACTACCACCAATTTCTGCTGCTGCTAAAAATAAAGAAATAAAAAGGAGTGAAATGAAATGGCATACTTGCAAGGTGCCAGTTAAAGCCAGACATCATGATGCAACTGAAATCATATAGATTTTTCCATCAAAAATAAGAAAAACATCAAATTTGTACCATGTTTCACAATTGACTATCAAGTAAGGAAAGCATTTATACTTTAAAAAGGAGATGGGCTGTATAAACTGAACTTAGAAAGAACAGCATGGCTAGCCTGAAAGACTTTGTTGAAGAAAGTACGTAAGGAAAAGCATAACTTTTTTTTCTTTTCATTTTGTTTTGACACATTTGAGAAATTACTTCAGAGAAGAGCTGGCTCTTTGACAGTTATGAAGAGATTAAAAACAGCTTTCCCTTCCCCGCCACCACAACAGAAAAGAATAAACAGCAAAAAAAAAACCCCATAAAGTCTCGTGGAAGTGTGCTCTGATGCAGTTACAAAGTGACTTCATAGAATGATAAACATGGAACTGTTCAGTTCAAAGCAAGCTATGGTACAGCAAAGCTGTAGTGAATCTATCTAAATTGGCGCTGAATAGTACAGCTATTGTAGGAATCTTATTTTGAGTTTTCGGTATGTGAAGTCATACCATTGACGGCGTGTAAAAATCACAGGGATATTGTGAAAGGTTAGTGACAAAAGACAATCACATGGCACTATGCTGTGCAATTAAAAAAAAAAATCTTCAAAAAATCATTTAATTGAAGGATTCATTTCAAGATTGTTTCAGTTCAAATGGTTTATTTGATAAAAAATTTGAATAAAACCTGAGAAGATGGTTTTTGACTTCCCTTCTGGAGTTAATTTTTAAAATTAATTTTTTAGAATCTTACTTTTAGTAAACACCTCTTTGTTTTGCCATATATATGCATAATTAGCTAGATAGTCAAAAATCGAACATGTAATATGTGGACCTTACTTCCCCTGAGCTGTATGCTGAAGTACTCTCTGGTATTCTTTCAGATGTCATGGGCTATGTCTCTGAAGCTTGCATCTTAGTATATGAATGTATAGGTGTCAGCATAAAGAGGAATACCAGCAGTAAGAGAAGGAAATTCTTGAAGGACTTAATATTTTTATTTGATAAGTTTTCAGGCAAATAAGCAGTTTGGGCTGAGTCACCTTGCAGTCACATGAATGCTGGTGCTAACGTGAGGGAGGGGACAGATGCACCTAGTTGAAGAAGGTATAGGTAGCCTGGTTTAGATGTTGTTTTGCTCATTCTGGGGTAGAGTCTAAAATTCTGAAGTTTGTAATTGCTGTGAAATGAAGACTGTGTGCTTACAGGAATACCATTCAGCTAGTATTGAATAGGGACTGGGGTTGTAAGAAATAAATGTTGCCCATATACATAGGCTTTTCTCCTTTTAGGATAAGAAAATCTAGGCTTATATTGACTTCCTAATGGCTACTGCAACTTTTAGGGAAGTTCTGTGTTCTGTTTCCAGCTTTGCCATTCACTGACTGCTAGATCTTGTTTTGTTTTAGTTTCCCTTCATTAGCTTTTACATGTTAATCTGTACATGCTTTATGACAGTGTTTGACTTTCACCACAGGCTGAGTGGTGTAGAGAAGACGTAGTTGGATGAAATATGATATTAATTTGGATTTTAAATGCCATCAGAATATAAATAATACTAATAGATTTTTTTTATCTGAAATCTAGATAACAGAAGGAATGCAGATACAGGGCTTAGTATTTTGTTATTTTTGTTTAGGGTAGCACAGCACAAGAAGTACCTTAGAATTGCACGGTTCAGATGTAGTATCCTAAGTAATAGGAGAAATCATGGAGTATCTATCAGGAAATCAGATGCTGCTAGGTAGCTTTGCCAAATAGCTTATATACTTACTCTTTGTCATTTTATGTACCAGAAATTGGAGGAGCTTTATATGGATTTAAAGAACCTTTGAGGATCAATTTTTAAAACTTAAAATTACCTAGACATTCAGGGGAATAGGGGCTTCTACATATTAGCACAACAAATTGTATTAAAAGGGAGCATTGGGTAGTCATGAGTAATACGGTCAATTGAGCATCAGGTGTACCTGCTTTTATAGAATTCTGTTTGTTTGTTTACAGTAATCATTGAATAAAATCATGGCAGCTGCCAGTAATGAGGAACTCCATCCTCTGGATCCTGGAATCTCTAAGCTGCAGTTTGCACCCTTCAGTAGTGCCTTGGATGCAGGATTCTGGCATGAACTAACCCAGAAGAAACTCAATGAGTACCGATTGGATGAAACTCCAAAAGTTATCAAGGGATACTACTATAACGGTAGGTAGAAACTGAACTTCTTACTTAGTAGTTTAGCTTTATCCTGTTATTCTTATAAGAATTTGTATAACATATTTGAAGTATTTTGCTGAAACATTACTGGGATTATAAAACGCTAATGGATGAGCTGTGAATTCTGGAGTGTCTGTGGATAACTTATGACTTGTATTTAAAAAAAAAAAAAAAAAAGAGAGAGAAATTAAGCAGTGCTTTGCTATTTGAAGGACATATGTTGCTGCTTTTTGTCCAGGTGATCCTTTGGGTCTGCCAGCTCGCTTGACACTGGAGTTCAGTGCCTTTGATATGTAAGTACCTAGCGTGGTTGTCTTAATTCATATGTGAAGACGCTTTCCATGGATAGTAGTAATGCTTTGACATATAATGTTACTTGGACACGTGCTACAAAAAATAAGTATGTGTGTTTATGGGCTTTGTAACAGTGGAGAGGCCGCTCTGAATCGCAAACACTAAATTAACACCCAGTTTCTGAAGTAGTATATTCATCTAGAGGGCCAAGTTTAAAGTATTCTGGTGGGGAGTCTTAAATACACTCATTCTGTTTGTATATTTGTTTATATAAAACAACATTTTCTTTCCATTTTATAGGCCCTTCTGTGAGTAAGGGAGGATATTTTTAGTCATCTGACTCTTCTGGTGAAATTTTTCCTTAGATCTTTATTTACTGAAGATTTCCTAGTCAGAATTAGGAGCTCAAAATAGTTTTTACAGTCTCTATTTTTCACGTGATAAAACTTCCACAGTAGTTAGCCTTTATGATTGAAATTTTATATTTTTGCTTTTACCTCCAAAGCCAAAGATCAGGAAAAGCTGTTCAGTGTACACACTATAAAAGAGATTTGAGAGGAGGATTTTTTTTTTTCCTACATGGTTTTCAAATTCAGCAAATACCTGAGTTAATATAACTAAAATAGAAACAGAAAAGATTTCCTCATAGTCAGGGTCACGTTTGTTTTAAGTTAGTGGATTACAAAACCATAAGTTACAGAAGTGACCTGCTCTGTCTTGCCTGGATATCTGCCTTGGATGTCAGGAGCTTAGTGAAGCTTGGTATATTTTGAGATAATTTCGTAGGACTTACTATTCCAGTAATTTTTATGTAAGAACTTCTAAGTATGGTACTGAAAGTATATGCAGCAAAGTGCTGCAGTTGGAAGAAAGCTGTGATACTGGTTACAAGAATTTCAGGTTAGTGAAAAATGGATGATACCATTGTATTTGCTCTATCAAGTGTTATGACAAAAATAAAACAATGAAAAGTCCATTTATGTAATAATTCTTCTACTGTAGGAGTTTTCTGTACTCTGTTACTCTGGAAGTCAATTTAGATGATGATGAAGTTTCCTTTTAGCCTTAAAAAAAACCTCTGGAAATTATACATCACCTATATCTACAATGTAACTTTAAACTTTGCTAGATTTGCCCTTTAACAGCAGTCAGAAATATCAGTTTAAGAGAATGATCTTATAGGAGTCAAGGAAACCAATCAGATCTATAAAATTAAGGGAGCGCTGCAGTTATGACTGAATTTACATTGAAAGGGGGGAAAAAATACATACTGTTATCTACAAAGTGCAGTATCTCCAGCTGATGGTAAGATATAAAAACCATTCAGTCTTCCAGCTGGTTTGGGTTTGCTTTGGGATGTCTTATTAAACATAAAATTTTAATTGAGTAACTCCACATATGTGGAAAATTGACTACTAAAATTCAATCTTAATATTATTATTTGTTCTTAGTGATAATCATATTTGTCATGAAGAACTTACATTTGTTTGGAATCTTTAAATTTTGAATTTGTGATTAAATGCCACTTGCTAGAGATAATCCAGATGCCCAATGCGTTCTTTTAAGTCACAGCACAAGGTACTTACACCAGTCCACATTCAACAAAGCGCTAATGTTCATAAAAAGATTTTCAGTAGAGCTGTCATTAACTTTTGTTACTGTGCCTTGTCATGTTACAATTTCAGGACAACCTTGCTTGCAAAATTACACCATAGGAGAGTTACTGTTATCACTGCTGATGATGTTAAAAGTATAAGCATACAATTCTGAGAGGTTTATTTATTTTATTCAGGAATGCTTCAATACCAGCACGTTGCTGTCCTGCTTTCGGAACGTTATATAACACTAACACTTTTGAGACTTTCAAGTCCTGTGATAAGAAGTCACTTCTGGAAAAAGAGGCAAATGAGGTAGGATTAAAAAGCCTATCAACTGGCTGAGAGATAGGGATTGGAAGTAGCCAGTGGAGTGCTTTATAGTCTCTGCTCCAGGTATTGGAGAAACCGTCCGTACTGACCCGTTTAGCAGTGTCAAAACTTAACAGTTGTTTCTAGAGGGAAAAGTTTGATAGTTTCTTCACTGTTCTTCCCAAGAGAATAGCAAGTAGCTACTGGACTTACTAATGGACTTGGGGGACTTCATTTCACGGTTCTGTTAAGCCACATTTTAAATTTAACAGCGCTATAAGAGCTGCCTGTGACCTGCATTCAGTAGGGCATGGGTTTTGTGTTTGTTTTGAAACCCAGAAACTAGCAACTGCCTGGTTTTAGGCTTTAGCTTATTGCAACGTGTCTGTGTGGCGTAGTGATGGGGAAGTTTCTGAACAGCCAGAAGACTGAGGAAAAGTGAGAACGAGGTGGCTGTCAAAGGAAGGGGCTAGGAAAAGTCTGCTTGCACTGTGAGGAACTAAATTAAATGTGGTGGCTAAGGGAGGAATGAAAATCAAATTAAGATGACCTTTTGTTTTCTGAGACAATTTAACCAATTGTCAATTCCTTTAGATTAGATTGATAATCTGCCTGCAGGCCTTGAGTAGCAAAGTTTTCATACGTGTCTTCGCTTGAGGTTAGGAATTTTTTGTGTGCCTGTGGCCTAGTATTCCCCTGTCAGTAATAGATACAGTGCAGTAGCTTTAATGATATCTTTTAGAAAACTAGAAAGGTTAGAATGCTTTATTCACACTACTAATTTTTCTTACTTTTTGAGACAGAAAGCTCAAACAGGTCTGCTTCACACCCATGTGAAGAAGACTTCTTGTCTCACCAATGTGCAACAGTCTGCTTTCTTAGATGTCTGTCTTTTTCCCCTGCCCCCGAACGTCCTAGTAGCTTATTCACATGCCGAGTATCTGTAGATTATGCAAATAATTATACAAAAGATGAGAATGCAAGGAAAGTCTACATGAATATCCACAATATGATGCATATTGTGCTAGTGTTAATAGTTCCTATACCTGAAGGATCGTTCCTGATGGTTTTTTTTGTTTTGTTTAATGCCGTATGCCTTGTTCATGAGTTAATGCCCATTTTGTTCCCTAGCATCTATAGCTGTTGTGTTAGAGAACACGAGCCTGTGTGTTACCTTTAGAATCCTTTCAGCATGAAGTTAGATAGGAAAAGTGGAAATCCCAGTGGATTACTGGGAATATTAATTTTAGTATTTTTAATTTAGCTGGAAGAATTCCTAATAAAGAATCCTGCAATTGTTCTCATGCTACCTTTGTATTTTGTTTCTCTGCCTTTTTTTCTTACTCTCTGTGCTCAAAATCAATGACAGATATGGGAATCAATAAAATCTGGGGCTGCTCTTGAAAACCCTATGCTCTTGAACAGGTTCCTGCTGCTGACATTCGCAGTGAGTAAAGATAATGTATCTTAGAGCGTTGAAATGGAAATGATGAAATAGTTTTATTTCTAGAAGAAATATTATAGGAGTATTAGAATACTAACATTATCAGGATGGTTTTCAGACATTTAAAAAAAACTAACGTAATGAGCCATTCTTTTGTACAAATATAGAGGATGTTAGGATGTAGTCCATAAACCAGCAGATGCCATATCATACTCTCTTCTGTTTACAGATCAGATTATTTGATTACCTTGCAGATACTAGTAAAAGTAGAACAACTGTTTCAGGTTGAAGAGATTGAAAGTTTTAATAAATAATGCTTTAGATAACACAAATTGAAGCATTAAGTGCATATTGTCTGTTTAGACCTTAAAGATTAAAAACTCGTGTAGAGAAAGCGAAGTCATCTAGTATTTTTTGTTTTGTTTCAAATCATCACAGTGCCTTGTGGAGTAGAGAGAACTATGGTTAGGATAATCAACCATCAGTTATCAGCAGTGCCTCAAGCAGTAATTTACATTCTGATTTACATGCTTGTTATCTAATTTTATACATTTCTTTTTCTAGGATTTAAAAAAGTACCATTTCTATTACTGGTTTTGCTACCCTGCTCTCTGCTTCCCAGATGGAATACGTATCATTCAGAAACCAGTCTGTCTGGGTGACAGATTCGCTTTAAATCAGGTATACCAAGTAAATACTAAATGTTATGAACGTTTTAGCGCTAAGCATTTTTTGACTTTAAAACTTAATATTTTTATCTTAGCACAGGCTAAATTAATTTGAGAATCTAATTTCTTTTAAAATCATCACTCTTATTTCCATGTGATTGTTCTCGTTTACCTCTTTTTTTTTCTTTACTGTATAAATTCTTTCTCCTTGAGCTTAACATCACTTCAGCTTTATCTGATTAGACACAGAGGTAGCAGACAATTCTTGAAGAGGCAGTTACATTCATTTTAATTTTTCTATGTAGCTTATCAAATATATAAATGAATTTTTTAAATTTATAAAAAGACTTTTAAACAACCTTTTTAAAAGTGACATCTTCTGGGAGAGCTAAGTTATTAACTGAGGTGAGTATAGCATTAAAGGAAGGCTACAGTGGGTCAGAGAGAAATATGTTCTCCCAAAGTTCATGTCTTCTTTATTGTTAATAACTTCAAAGCAGTGAGTGTTCCATGTTAGGAAAAGCAGCAATACATTTAATCTGGTAGAAATAAAAGCTGAGGTGCATCATAATTAGAGAATATAACCCATGGAAAAACATGTGAGACTTGGGGAAAAGTGGTAGACACCATGAAAAAGGTGCAGAACAGGGCAAGAGTGAGGAGAAGCTGATTGGGACTCAGAACTTCACAATTGCGGAAGAAAATCTTTTCCCACAGTAAAGACTAGGATACTGATTCTCCTTCTAGACCAACTGAAAGCAATCAAAATACTTAATAAAATAGTTTAATCGGCAAGAGAAATTAATAGAGAAGATCGCTAATAATGGAATTTGGAAAAACTGTTTTAAATAAAAGATTTTAATAAAGTGAAAGATCTAGGCAGGAGGAGGTTATCATGCAAGCATATCAAGACTTCTATAAAACCCTTAGTCTAAGGAGGGCTCCTTCTGACCTTGGTGGGTAGATTGTGTCTCTTCAGGGCTTCTATTCCATTCCAGTGAAGGACTCAAGTTGAGCCTTTTTTTGTTCATAAATAAAGATGAGAGTGCGAATTTCAGACTTTAACTGATGTAACAGAATATTCTATCAGAAAATTGTCTAATATGTTATTGTTTCAAATCTAAGAGATTCCTGACTTCAAATAATCCCGTTCTTTACTAGTATTGTGAAAAGTGTTAATAAAATGCATGACTAGACAAGAAAAACATGGGATAGGAAAGAATTTTTGAGAAGAAAAGTTAAGTTTTTTTTTCTTGTTTCATACTACAATGCAAAAGGAGAAAAAAAAAAAGCCAAGTTGCCTGCATATGCCCTTTGACTATAACTGAAGCTAATGTGAAACTTTGAGTGGCCTTTTAATGTCGAAACAATCAATGAGAAACAGTTTTGTATTTTCAGTTAAAAAAACCCCATAGTTCCCTTCGTTGCAGAAGACCCTCATTAGATCTGTAATAAAGAAGGATATAAAAATGTAAAAGGATATAAAGGATATAAAAATGTACCTGTCGTGATCTGAAGACAGATTTTTGACTAAGCACTGAAAATACATACCACAAAATAGATTGAATGGGTGCATAAGCCTCCACAGTGTAGTACTGTGATTAATGTTTACCGGTACCTAGTCCTGTACTAGATATTTTGTAGTTTGGAAGCAGGTCAGAGAACTTGGTTCTCTTGCTAAGAGTAGAGGAACAGATATGCTTATCAAGCTATTGTGACTGTCAAAGTGAGACTTTATTTTGTTTTAGTATTTCTTGTTACATCCACTTGCAGTAACAGTAACAATGCTTCTATTTCAAATTTGCATTGGCAATTGCTGTTTTAGTAATGAATTTTTTATTTCAGTTACTGTGATTTTAATGAATTTAAAACTTAAAATTTTAATGAATTTAAAAACTTCTCTGTATGTTATTTTCTATTGTAAGATTATTTCAGAGATGGCAGGAGTGAGCTAGTCATCCTTCCTAAATGTTAATACGCCTGTGGTGGTTCTGCATAAGATCATTACCACTGTTGGTTACAGTTGTGTTTTTGATTTTTAGATTCAAGCACTTCAGAAAGCGTATGATGAACTTTGCCGGGCAGAAGGGGTTACAGCATTGCCTTATTTTTTAATCAAGTATCATGACAATTCTGTGGTGGTATCTCTGCTCAAAAAGTGGGATGGTTTCTTCCAAGACGAAGGGGAAAAGGTAAGGAGTTTTTTTTTTTACATCTTTTTATAACTCACAAATGCTTAATTTACAAATGATTTGAAAAGTGTCTGTAATACTGAGCCAGGCACAGTGATTGGCCTGTAAATAGACAGGGTTAGTAGCTAAATACCAGCAGCTTAGATTGATTTCGGTGGAGAGGGTTAAGTGTCTCTAATGCTTACACAAAAGGGTAGTTGCATCAGGTTAACGGTCATCTTGAAAACAGAGTTCAGTCAGCCTGAAAATAGTTCTTCATGCTCTTTGTACTGACTCCCTCATTATCCAAATAGGAATTATACAATTTTATGAAAGTGTTAACATGCTAACTTAGTATTTTCCAATCGCTCGCCTTATATGCAGTATTATAGTAATGCAAAGCATTTATTTTATTGTTTGTGTACTAAAAATTGGTATTCACATATTTTATGAGAGTGTTAAACCGTATCTTTTTATTGGTTGCAGTAACAGTAAACAATACCAGTGAATGCTATATGGGAGTTTTCAACTATAAAAGTTTATATGCAGTTTTCCCATAAAATTTGTCAAAGAAATGTTGGCATGTATTTTGCTACAAGTGCCTATTAGAACTTGAGAACTATGGAAAAAAAATGCTGTAAATCTGCATATGAAAAATATTCAAGTTAAACACTTAACCCACCTGTACTCCAAAATTATTGTGGTCCAGAAGAGGTTAGAATAATTTCTCTGTTAAATTTGGAGATCGTGCCTGTCCTTTGAAGAAGCGAGCACTGTCCGTTGTTTTCAGTTAGGAAAAAGTTATGATAATACATTAAGCAGATGTCATCACAGTAAGAGTTGACTGACTTGGTTAACCTGTGCTTATGTATGTTGAATTCTGTTTTGGATCATGTTGCTGTTGCTCAGCACTGAACTTTGCTAGGCCTTTCTGTATGTTTTGCCATCTTTATTTCCTTTCAACTTGTTTTTCTTGCGTTGCATTGAAGTGCTAGGAAACAAAACTTTGAGTTATGCTGAAGAGCTAATAAGTATAAAAAAGAAATCTTGAAAGGAAATTTGTCATACATAGTGAAAGTCATTTAGTTCTGTTGTGTAATACTTGATCTTCAGGATTTTTTTTCCTGCTTTCCCAAATTTTCTTTTTCCTGAGACTAGACCTGGGTCTGTAGTTCTTGACTGAAATATGAAAGAGAAGATTAAGATTGTAAATGGCCATATGACTATGGTAATAGGTCATAGATAAGAGTACCTAATTAGATAGGAGCATCCTGCATATGAGAGAAATCTGGAATCATCTGGAATATATTTCTTCATTGACATTCGGTTTGGAGGGAACTGCCGAAATTTTAGACTGATTGGGTAGGATTGATCGCACTGATGGTGTAACAAGGGTGCGGGGTCTGGAGTTTGTATTTCAGTGAGGCAGCTGAACTTGCTGTCCTTGGAACGAAATATGTTTTTGTTGTTACTGAGTTCATTTGCTGCGAGTTTATCAAATTGGATCAGCTTAGTTAGGGGTCTAGTGCCTGCTGGAGTCAGCAGTTGCAAAGCAGCAGCTGGGAGGAGGGATGGGGAGTGGGCCTCTGCTCTGATCTGTAGCCATTAGATTGGCTCACCTACATCTCACACTGTTCCTATAGACCCTTCAATGAGGTGGTAAAATTGAGACCAGTCATTTTAAGATCATATATAGGCAAAGAAGCAGGAGGGAAGAGCTCTGGAGATGTGAGACACATGGATATCAGTAGTGATGTCTGAGTTCAGATCTTGCGCATATCTAGACTTAAGCAGTTGCATCTTCCTAATCCCTGGTTGTGTTTTGGTTCAGCATTGGCTGTGAAGCAGTTAGGCTTGTAGTTTAGATGCCTCAGTTATGGGAATAATATTACACAGGTTGAACATGAGGCAATGTCCAGGTCCTTTACTTAGGCCCCTTCTTAAAGATTGTCTTTACATGTGGTTTTTTTTTGGCTATGTTTTTCCTTTGAGTTAACGTCTTGCTAGCCTGTCCCCTTTCACTTTTTGATTGTCCCACAATCAATGCAGAATTTTTTTTCGAGAGCAAGGCTTCAGTTACTGGGTTCCCCTAGGTTTCATAATGCTATCTTTCAGGAAGGTACACGTACTGTAGTTAAATGTGGATGTCCACTACATGGTGAAAATGAACAAATCTAGAAGCTGTGGCAAATGTTTGACTGAAAGCTAGTGTGACCATGTAGTATACATTTGTAAATACTTAAAATACCTGTGTAGTTTTATGTAAAAAGTGCCAGATAACCTTTACTGTGAACTAAATACCAGCATGGGTAGAATACTTCTCATTTAGAGCAATTTTATTTGCAGGTGACAGTTGGAGTTTATGATCCATGTAATTTAATCCACTATCCAGGATGGCCTTTGAGAAATTTCCTGATCCTGGCAGCTCACAAATGGTATCTATTTTATTATATTTCTCATGGAGATTATTTATTGGCTGATATCAAATTTTCTCCCCTTGGCAGTTTACTTCTATCACCCACCTGATTCTTAACTACAGTGCATGAAATATGCCAAAATACATGTCAAAGCAAAAAGAAATTCCTCCAAAAATTTGAAATACAACTTCCAACATTGAGATGACTCACTCTCAGTAATTTTGATTTTTGCTTATTATTCTATTTTTTACTTCTGACAGTCACGAGTTCTCATTATTCCTATTCCTCACATGCATGCACGTGCATGCAAAGATATGCTTTAGACCGTTGCTTGCCTTCTTTAGACTCTAGCTGGTACAAGTGTTACCTCTGATGTTAGAGGATGAATTAGTGCCCAGTAACAGTAGACCTAAAGTTTGAAGATCAGATACTCCTAGGTTTTCTTGTAGTGTACCTTCTTCAATTTTTTACTTTGGGAGAGGCTGGGGAGAGAGGAGATGGTTTTAGACTCTGGTCTTAAAAAAAAAAAAAAAAAAAAAAAAAAAAAAAAAGATATTATTCAACTAAAATTAGGCTGCTATAACAAAAATGTAATTAAGTTGCAGTTTCATAGTTTTGACTTTTACGTTTTATTACAAAATGCAAAGAAGGAAAAAGAAAAGTTTAACTAGGTATGGCGTTTTCCAAGCTACTAATTCGACTATAGCACAGAAGGATATGAAGTTTCTAGACAGCTTTACACATTCTGAGAGTAAGAGGATTTTAGGCACTAAAGCTCTAATTCTTGGCTTTTGGAATTGAATACTGAAGAAGAAAGATGACATTACATCAAGAATTGAGAGGATCTTGCTTGGGTCATGGGGAAGTACAAGTGCACATCATGTCAACTGATGTCTGTTCTGGGGCTTCCATGCTTTTTATTCCCCTCTGTCCAGTAACATAGTCGAAATGACAGAAGACAATCTGACAGCGTCATTTTATTAGAGCTGCTTCACAACAAACTGGACGTTTCCACATTCTAAGCGACTACGTTGGTTAATAACTGGTAAAAACAGCAGTGTTCCTGGACTAATGGAAAATGCTTTATTCAGAATCTGCGAAAGAGTAAAGATTTGTGATATAGGCAGAGCGTTCAAAATAAATTCATTTCCTTTTTAAAGAAATTGCATGTCTCTCTCTTTTCTTTTCTTTTCGCTACCAGGGGCAGCCGTCTCCAGTCAGTTGAAGTGCTGTGCTTCAGAGACAGGACCATGCAAGGAGTGAGAGACATAACACACAGTATTATCTTTGAAATAAAGCTTCCACAGAGAGCCCTTGGCCCAGGTAATCCCTTTTCAAAAAAATTAATATTTCTTCCCATTTTTTTTCCTTCCTCAATCACTGTGAAGATAGAAAAAAGGCATTAATACTACCAAATGATTGCTTATGCTAAGTTATTTCAAATGGATCTAAAATTGTCTGAGTTTGCTAAATGTCTGTAAAGCAAACTGTTCCTTCTTCAAAAAAAGAAAGAGGACAGCATGTTCTCCTTTTTTTTCCTCCCTCTTTAAATCCTGTTTATGGTGTTAAGAAAAAGTTCTAGTCTCGTATGAAAGATGAGATAGCAGTTTGTAGCATCTCTTCTGCTATGTATACTGATACTAAATATTATCTTTTTTCTCATTAAATGTCTACAGTCCTTCAACTATAAAAAATACATGCAATAGTGATTTTATGTGATGCACATTTTTAATACACTTTTAAAACTGTAATTCAGAGTGGAATTGTCTTCAGCTGAAAGTGAGATAGCAGATGTAATTTAAAACAATAAAATTGTAAATTCAGAACATAAGCTCGGATTTGATTTCTATGTACGAGACTATCACAAAATTTCTCTACCTCCTCTTATCCAAGAAGTTTTGAGTGCTTTATGTATGATAGGTTTGAATGATTTAATTATTATATAGTTAGGATATATAAATCTCTACAAATTTACAGATAGCATGAAGAGATAGTTTAACTTGACAAAATTTACTGAGTTTTGAATTCTATGAGAACTACAGAATTAGTATGAAATGTCTGACATGAATTGATGTCTGAGCAAATTATTGGCCAAACTGAAAAGAGTAAAAGTTTTCAGACTCCTGCATTTTTCTTACAATGTGAATGTCACTGTTATTTGTTGCTTACAATGATATTGTGGAAAATGGCATAAATGTAACATTGCCCTTCAGTAAGACTGCATAGTCTAAGTAAGTAAAATAAACGTTGACCATCAATTTAACACTAGAGTATTTATTCCTCACTCCTCATTTTTCCTCTTCTCGGTGCTCTTCTCTGTAATGCAGCTAGTCTATTTTAAGTGTGTTGTGGAAGATCTGATACATATATAAATAAAAAAGATTTTCACCAAATCAGGCGTAGCATAGAGAAGATTCGCAGGGAATGTTATTCCATGTGATGCCCTGCAGTTTCTCTCACTAGTTGGTGGCAAGTTCAAAACGCAGAAGAGTTCCTCATATAACTCACTGTTAATCTATGACGCTCCTTGTTAAAGGTTGTTGTTGGTGGCAAAAATGTATATAGATTCAAAAAAACTTTGCCCATCATGCTAGAAAAAACCAGCTTCCAATGCTAGTAAATATTAAGGTGCTACTTTTGGCTCAAGAGATCCCTGAGCCTTGGAGTGCTGGGAGCCAGGAAAGCCTAGGCTTGGCATTCGAGAGCCAGGCTTGAGGAATGATACTATCCCTGTTCTAGGTTTGAAGCAAGTTGAACAGGAAGAAGGAGCACATAGGACACCTGATATTAAAATCTCCGAGAAGCACTGTTTCAGCAGGCATAAAATAAAATAGCAGCATTTGTACAGCAATGTATACTAGGATGTTAAGATACAGGTTTTTACTAATAAGTTTAAAATTATGGGTTTTTTCCAGAAAAGTTAAAGCCAAGCTTTTTTTTTCTGTAAAAAAAAAAAAAAAAAAAAAATTGCAATATTAGTGCTCTTCTTTCTTTCCTTCTGTCTTCCCCCACTTTCTTTTTTTTCTTTCTTTTTTTTTTTTTTAAATGTCAAATAGATTGTCCAAAGGCTGTTGGATGGGAGAAGAATCAAAAGGGAGGCATGGGACCAAGGATGGTGAATCTCAGTGAATGTATGGATCCAAAAAGGTTTGTTCCTTAACCTCTAAATTTCTCTCTCTCTCTCTATCTCTCTCTATATATATAATTTTTTTTTTTTACTTGAGCTTAAGCCAGAAAAAGTCAAAAGGAGAACCATAAGGACTAACTGTCTCTGTTAGGTAAAACTATATGCTACCACCTACACTGTGGAGTCTTTGAACAGTCCTATTGGAGGTAGGGATTTTTTTAGAGGAGAGCGCACTGCATGCAGAAGAGTTTGCAATTTGTGGCTCTAACTAAAAGTTCAAATGCATTGCATTCAAAACTCAGTGAAATATGGGTTATGGTATTACAGGCCTGTGATTCTTGTTGAATTCTGTAATCTGCTTGTTTAATTTACAGAAAATAAATATGGAGGACAGAATCATAGAACAGTTGAGGTTGGAAGGGACCTCTGGAGATCATCTAGTCCAACCCCCCTGCTCAAGCGGGGTCTTCTAGAGCACATTGCCCAGGATCGTGTCCAGGCGGGTTTTGAATGTCTCCAGCAAAGGAGACTCCACAACCTCTCTGGGCAACCTGCTCCAGTGCTCAGTCACCCTCACAGGAAAGAAGTTTTTCCTCATGTTCAGATGGAAACTTCCTGTGTTTCAGTTTGTGCCCGTTGCCTCTTGTCCTGTCACTGGGCACCACGGAGAAGAGTCTGGCCCCATCCTTTCGACACCCTCCCTTCTGATATTTATACACATTGACCAGATCCCCCCCCAAGCCTCTCTCTTTTGCTAAACAGGCCCAGCGCTCTCAGCCTTTCCTCATGAGAGATGCTCCAGTCCCTTTGTCATCTTCATAGCCCTCTGCTGGACTCTCTCCAGTAGTGCCATGTCTCTCTCGTACTGGAGAGTCCAGAATTAGACACAGTACTCCAGGGGAGGCCTCACCAGGGCTGAGGAGAGGGGCAGGATCAACTCCCTCGACCTGCTGGCAACGCTCTGCCTCATGCAGCCCAGGATCCCATTGGCCTTCTTGGCCACAAGGGCATATTGCTGGCTCACACTTAACCTGTTGTCCACCAGCACTCCCAGGTCCTTCTCTGCAGAGCTGCTTTCCAGCAGGTCAACCCCCAGCCTGTCCTGGTGCCTGGGGCTATTCCTCCTTAGGTGCAGGACCCTGCACTTGCCTTTGTTGAACTTCAGGAGGTTCCTCTCCGCCCAGCTCTCCAGCCTGTCCAGGTCCCTCTGCATGGCAGCACAGCCTTCTGGTGTGTCAGCCCCTCCCCCCAGTTTAGTATCATCAGCAAACTTGCTGAGGGTGCACTCTGTGCCTTCATCCAGGTCACTGATGAATACATTGAACAAGACTGGACCCAGGACTGACCCCTGGGGGACACCGCTAGCTACAGGATAGCGGTAGTCAGATGGTCATGGTCAGAGGTGTATATACTGATGAAATGTATTTTTTTTCTAGTATTTTCCTGTGCCAGTTACCACCCCAAGGGTACTTTACAGTAATCTGACCTGAGAAGAGTTTTAAGACCCTTGTGTTCTGATGACTAGGAAATCTGACACTAGGCTAAATGTGGCTTTCTCACTGCATTCGCCTTCCTAAACAGCCACAAAGAACTGATTCTTTAGAGGACAGATGTAATAATGTTTAGGACAGAAATAACTGGATGCAGAAAACCAGTCCTTTCCATAAAGGAAACAAAAGTTTATGGACAAGTGGTCTATGTCTTATCACTCAGCTTAACTAGAAAGAAATCTTGACTGAGAAACCATTTGTATTTTTATGTTTGCATCAGATATTTCCTAGCTGTCTTGTTAACTTTTGTTTCGGTGATGATTTTGCTGTTATGTTTTTAAGCATTGCAGTCACAGCTTTTGTAAAAATAGGCAGTGTTTGGCCAGCACATTGGTCAAAGCGAGGAAGTCAAAGTGAATGTCCGAAAGTGCGTGCGTGTGCCCCTGTGTGTATTTATGTAGGATGGCTTTTGGCAAAATAGTTTTTTTATGTTTGCATATTTTTCTTTGTATCTAAAAGGCAGAACGATTAGAAGAATTTGTAGTTAGGGTCCTTAAAAACATACTGCGTCACCTCACAAGAGAAAAAGCAGCGGAAAGTAAGTTGTTTCAGATCTGCTGGCCGTGCACTTTTTTAACAGATGGAATTATCCTTGAGTGATTTTGGTTTTTGTTATCTGTATTTGAAGTTGCTTACAATGTATTTATGCTCTAGCTGGCTTGTTATTTTGTTATCCAAGCCGAGATGCCTTCTGCTTTGGAGAACTAGGTACAGGTATCTCTTTGTATATATTTAGCAGTGTTTTATCTAGACATGTTTATAGGAGGAGAAGCTTAAATTTGATCTGTCAGCGTAATCATTTCTATTCTGCATCAATAGTATTCTGATGAGTTCCATCAGGGAACTGGAGTAAGCCTTTCTTTTCTATTAGACCATCCTTCTCTTCAGAATACTTGTCTGTCGATAAAATGTTCTTGTTGCACTTGAATGCTACCATATCCTGGAAAGATAGTAGAACAGTAAATCTCCAACCCAGTGAACTGGAAAGGAGAGTGAAAAACAAGAAAAAGAATTAAAAAAAAAGAAAGAAAGAAACTGAGGGGAAAAATAAATGTGTCATTATCATCATCAACAGCAGCAGCAGCAAAGGAAAGCTGAAAGGCAGCTGAGACCAAACATGGAAAAAGGGAAAAGTGTCAGGAGAGTGTATGTGTGGCCTTTATCTTAAGGCGAGAAAGCACAGTGAATGGACGCTTTTTTTCCTGCTAAAAAAGTGTACAACAACTTCAGTAGAAATAAAAGCCATGCTGGAAACACGAGAACATTCAGATGTGGTGTTGCTGTTTATTTCATGACACAGGTTAGCAGAGTCATCAGTGGATCTTAATTTGAAATTGATGTGCTGGCGGTTGGTCCCTACTCTGGATCTGGAGAAAATTGTGTCTGCCAAGTGTCTGCTGCTAGGAGCTGGTACTCTGGGTTGTAGCGTTGCAAGGACCTTGATGGTAAGTCCTGAGTTAATCGTAAAAATAGTCTGCTGTTTCTGATAAAATCTATATAAGTTTTTTGATCCATGGCATATAAGGGGAAAGTTGTATGCCTTTGTATTAGTCTATAGATAATATATATTGATGTTATAAATTGCAGGGAAAAAAGGTAAGATCTGTAGCCAGTAGATATGACTTGAAGCTCTCCCAATAGAATAGTAACTAGTAAGAGAACTTAGCAAAATCGTAGTGTGTATTTAATTTACGTTAAGAAAAGATGGAACTAGAAGTTCTGGAGTGAATTAACAATCTTATAAAATCAAATTCATAGTGAAGCATTTGGAGTAAGTAATTGTACTGATGTTTACTTTCAAGGATGTTTATCATATCTCAATGAATTCGGTAGGATTACAGGGTAGGATTACGCTAAATAACGTATTTGGGCAGACAAATTTATGTGTTGTCTCAATTCAGTGCAAATATAAGGTTATTGCTGTGAATAGATTCAAAGACTTTTTTTAGCTTGATCTTTCCTCTTCTTGAGCTTCTGGCATTAGAGACTGAAAAGTGTATGGCTAAGGCCATTGTCTTTATCATTACTTAAATTATTTTCTTGCTTAGGGTTGGGGAGTCAGGAAGATTACATTTGTGGACAATGCAAAGATCTCCTACTCCAACCCTGTACGACAGCCACTGTATGAGTTTGAAGACTGTCTCAGTGGTGGGAAGCCTAAGGCGCTTGCAGCAGCAGACAGGCTGCAGAAAATCTTCCCAGGAGTGGTAAGATCAGTATTTAAAATGTGTTGATGGGTTTTTTTTTTCCTTTTTTTTTTTTTTTTTGTTGGGGGGGGGGAAACAGAGAAAAGCTGGATTTAAATGATCATACCAAGTTCTATTATTATTTAAGCATTACTATGAGCAGATGGTGGCAGGGGGGTGGAATGCTGCAAATGGGTGTTACACCTTGGTAACTAACCATTTTTCACAGATAGGGAGTACTTGAAGTAAATTTTCTTGGGGCAATAAAGATACCTAATAACAAAACATAGTTAAGGATTATCTGAGCCTTCTTGTGGCTCATTGATGGTAAAGTAAAATTCTTCTCCTAGTCTAGTCTATGACTAATGAACTTTCATTAACAGCTGCTTTTATTTTCCCCTCTGCTATTAATTTAAGAGCGGGGAGAATTTAAAAACATGTTAGTTGCCTAATTGGAGCAGAAGGGCTTGAAGGCAGGAATGAATAGATTCTTGAGATTTTCTATTACGTTTTACCCCTGAAACTTGCAATTTTATTTAAGTTAATTTTCAACATAAAAGAGGCAAATACTGAATCTTCATGTGGTTATAGTGCTTTTGGAATGAAGTGACCTAATGTTCTCAAGGTCACTATACCATTGTGCTTCATGAATGATCAGTAGTGTAGTACCAGTAAGAGAAATAGTTTTTGAACTTGTAAAGTCAGAGGAACTAACTTCCAGATTTATCCTTTTTTTATGTTACCCAGAATAACCTAAGAACAGTAAGTATTGATTATAAATGTATTCTGCATTTTGCAGAGTATTAAGATGTCTGAGGACTTTTTAATCTGTTCCTGTTTAAGAATTAGGCAATAGCTGAAAGGGAACAAAAAACAAGGATGAAATCGTGTTATTTGTTTTAGTAGCTTTATGATGAAAGGCCTGCCAATAGCAGTCTCTATCCCCCTTCACTCCAGGGGTGTGTATCTTATGCAAATTATTTAGTACCCAGGTTCAAACACTCCTAATTTTCAATGCTTAAAAAAATAGATTTAAAAAAAACCTTGGCAACATGGCTAATAAATATTTGTTGATCTCTTAATTTCGTCCTTCATTTGAGGGAAGAAGTGATATGGCTTATAATTTCAGAAAAGACACACTCTCAGCTTGCTCTGTCATGAACAAAATTCTTTTATGCTTGTTGGGTATGTGATAGAAGTCACTCAAATGTTTTTAGCTTTTGCTTTGGATTTGAGACCATCTTAGAATTGGCAGCTATAGTTACGAGAGCTCAGAGGACAAGCAGTATCTTAACCCACTTAGTTTAGGAACAAAATGAGTTAAGTACACTTACTGTTCAATGCTGTATTTTATGCCTCCAATTATATTACTAGTCATAATAATTTTTATTGACAGATATGAACAGCATAACATAAATCTGTGGTGTTGCTAGTGATCAGTGAACGAGCCTTAGAGAAAGTCCTTTCAGACATTTTTAGACTTTTTTTTTGTTTGACCTAAGGACTGTTCCATGTTCTTGTTCTGCTTTTATCTGTATTCATCCTATTATTGTCGTTACTTATGAAATTCAGTACTGGTATTCAGCAGTAATTCAGTGAACATTTGAATATCAAACAGTGATCCCAGTATGGAAAAAGGGTGAAAGTTTCAGAGCCTTTGAGTAAATTGGAAAGAGATTCGTTGAAAGTTCCTAGAGTTGTTTTAACCTTACTGCCCTGTATTATTATTGTTGCTTGGTGCTATGCATTTAATAACAGAAACATTAGATGGTAAAACATGTACAGAAAAGATTGCATCTGCACAGTATTGCATAGAACACCAGCATGAGGCATTCAACTAGCATTGAAATAAAGTATGATTTTTCTCTTTTTTAAAATTGAGACAATGGGAGCAGGAATATTAGGAAAGAATGAATACTTTAGTTAAATAAAAGCTGTATGTGGAATACTGAATAATATTACCGAACGCATGGTTATGTGTGTTTTTCTTGGAAATAAAGAAATAAACCCCAAAAACTTGTGAGCTGCTTTGTTAGAAACAACCAAGGAAGCAAAAGACCTGACTGTACTAAGAATCTTTACATTTTGATGAGACTTTACCAAAAAAAAAAAAAAAAAGAACACTACTTCCAGTAATAAAAGGGAAGCAATAACATAAAACTCTAGTGAGCCTTTGTCAAGAAACTGTTAGTATGTTTGGTATAGGTAGGAAAAAAAAAAAAAACCATAATGTTCAGTAACAGCATACACAATGTTCAGCCCATACTGTATGTATAGGAATTTTTTCTCTTCCATACCTCAAACGTTTTGCATCTATCACTGCTTTCTCAATTTATTGTCTCTGTCAATATTATACATTCTCTATTGTTTCTTCATGCCATGAGTCGTATCTGATCAGCTTCCACATGACTCAAACCTAGCTTTATAGCTTTGTGGCACAAATGAGGAGATACTGTTGCATAGATCCTGCATAGCCCTCTGATGGAATGGTTCTAATATATTTTTTCACTCAAAACCATATCACCAGTAGAATTTGTGGAGAAGAGGTATCATGTTTTACCATCAGTAAATATATAGAGAGCCAACATGGTACCATTAAGATTTAACAGGGCTTTGTTTGAATAAAATCTCCTTTATTCAAACAATTAACATCATGCTGACAGCACGTGAGAGTGGTGAGGTTTAAGCAGCAGGCTGGGTACATGCACTAACAATAGGTCTTTAATTAGCCTGCCTAGTCTTGGTGCTTTGAGACAGTTTGGACAGTGAATCTACTGTTATCTGGAGATGTTTATAACTTGGCTGATTTTGCGAGACTTCTTAAAATAGAGCTGCATCTGTTACTGCAAACTGCACTGTTGCTTGTTACCAAAATCCATATTCATCAGTATAAATGTCTCTGAATGAAAAGATTAGTTGTCCTGGATTTTGTGTCCGCTCATTTATCTTGTACTGAAGGAATAGCCAAAGCTGTCTTTTGCCGTTTGGAAATCCGGACGGTCCTTTAAAGTCCTTGGGAAGCCAAGCAGTAAAACCGGGTTCTGAAGACATTTCTGAAACTTTGGTTTTACAGTTCTGTGTAATTCATTTGCAGTCTAATTTTACTTTGTCATTCATGGTGGGTAATATTTTGTACGCAAAGTTCCTAATAATTTTAATAAGCCTTTTTATCTTTCTCTCCTGATTGGCCTTGAAATGCTTGACTGCTGTGTGTAAATTTGTTTTCGTGTTTTTAATTTTACATCCTTTCTAACTGGAAAGGAAGAATAACAACTTTATCATTGCAAATGAAACAAGAAAGAATGCTTTGGCAAAGAGCTGTGACCTGCTTCATTCAGCTTCTAAGATTATCATTAACTGTAGCTTAGAGTTCTATAATAAAACAGAAGGGAGTACTCAGTAATAACAGAATTTACAGATTTGCAACCTTTTATTACAAGTGGGTAATGCACTGAATTATTCATATAGCTGTTGAATCTGCAGCTATTGACTGTTACTGACCGCAATATATAGCTTTTTTGTAATCCTTTCCCTAATTATTCAGGCATGAAACTCTGATACGTACAATATTCATCACCCTTTCTACCATGTCGGATGGAGGGCCACTTTATGTGGGTATTTTCAGTAGATCAGTTTAATGATGGTAGCATCTCATTTCTTTTAACTTCTGAGCTTGTGGCACGTTCCTGTTCAGGTTTAATATATGAGCACAGACCTCTTTTAAGTGGTCTGAGCCAAGGTTTAACAAAAAATGCAGAAAGTTCATAGAAATGTTAGTAAAAATGTGAGAGAAGGTTATGGCTACACCACAAATTGCAGTAATTTGACATATATTTGCTTTAAAAAAAACAAAAATAAAACCACTGGAGCCTCAAGCCCCTCTTTGGTCAGCTATCAACAAATGTATAGGAGATTGAATTATTTCTTATGATATTGCATGCATCACTGTACAATTCCATTTTTTGTAAAGGATGATTCAGTTTTTCGGTAAGTACATAATTCTAAAACTATATGGGCTGATAACTAAGTATTTTTTTTTTATTCTGAACGGTTTGGAGGTATTTTAAATCCTTTGTTAGTTGGAAGGGTTTAATGTTATAACCTAATATGTTTTGTGAGCAATCTAGCGGAATTGTTTTTGTCATGTAGATACTGCACAAGATTTTGGAGTTCTGTGGAATGGGCAAGTTGCGTCTTTGGGGGTATATACACAATTACTCCTCCTCTAGAATAATACACATGTGCTGTCATCAGGTGCTGTTTTTTCCAGTGTTCTGCTACAGAAGTGGACCTCAACTGCTCATACTAGTGACTGCAGTCTTTTAAAGGGACAGTTATTCAAATTAGTTGAATTATTGAAGCTGCTACAATAATTATTGTATTGATTACTGTACTTCTACATCTATCGCGTTAGTCACTTGAGAGGTCTTTTTGTGACTTCCAGGAAAATTTTTGTGTTTTACAAACCTTGTTAGCACGCTTCCATGCAGCTGGTGTTCAAGTGTTGTTCACTAGTTTGTTTTGTTTTTAAACAACAAATCAACCTCCTAACTGCCAACAGCGTCATTTATACTTACCTAACAAATCGGCACTTGTCTGCAGTACAGAGGGCTATATAAGTTATCCATATATTGCATTATTCATATGCAGCGTGGATTAAGTTCTGTGTTCCTGCCACAGCTCTTTGGAGGAGGTAATGACACTAAAGCTAAAGCCTCCTCCAGTGTTTGCCCCGTGTCTGTGCTGGCGATGCAGAATCCTAGTTGTCCTCACTGGCGCACAGTGGAACTGCCCTGTTAACAGCATACGAAATCACCTTGAAGTCTATGTTTTTTTCCCTATAAAATAACATTAAAAAGTATATCCTTTGGTGCAATTGATTTATGTTATCCAAATTCATTCTCCCAAGCTGCCGTATGTGTTGGTGGTTTGGCTGGTGTTTTTCCCTCCCCCCCCCCCTATCTGGATTTATGAGTTATGCGTGCAACTGGTCTATACAAAACTCCTTCCACCGACCTTCCCTGCATCTCCTTCTGTGTAATTTTGTTTGGTTCATCCAGCTTTTATAATTTAGCTTTAAATTGTAAGTTACTTGCAGCATAGTGACAAGCAAGGAGACTTTGACCAGGCTTATGCTTTTATAACGTATATGAAGGATCCGTTGTTCTCTGATAGCAGATGGCTGACAGATTGTGTTAGCATATTTCCAAAGGAGTGAGTTAATTGTTTGCATTGTATATGCTTATTTGGCTCTTTAACCATTTTCTCCTCAATATGTCTTGCCCAAATATGGAACTGGGAGAGACATATGTTTCTGCAATAGGAACAAGCTCTTTCAGCATCTGTGCGGTGGAAGCTGCAGACATCCCAAGGGCTGGAGTCACAAATCTCAGAAGTGAATTTCTTTTCTGTATCAAGTTTGCATATGGCTGGTCAAATTATACAAAAATCACTCAAGACTATTGTTCTTCTCATAAAGAAATTAAAACAAAGGAGAGAACATATGATATACTTTGCATCTTACTGTAATTGGGTCAATATTCAGGCTCAGAAGTATAAACTGACGGAGATTATACATCCCCTTAACGTTGTGTGTGAAGTGACCTTAAAGATAATCCAAGATAAAGGTTTTACATGAGCACAGCATGATCATACTCATGCGTAAGATCCGCTTACTTGCTTTTGCAGTGATGTTTGTTACTTCTGGGACTAGAAGAGATCTAGCTATCTTCTCATAGTGATTTGCCAGAGTCAATAAACCTTTCTCAGACGCAGGGCTTGTTAGCTCAGGCACAGAGCCATATGAACATGGTTGGTCTGCTTTCATGACCCAAACTAGTACGTTTGCATCAAACTGCTCTGGTCTGGATAAATATAGCAACGGAGACTGCCACTCGCTCAAAAACTTTTGCGCTCTGCTTTAGTGCACAGCATTGACACAGAGATGAAAAAGATAAAGTTGCCATTCTGCCAAACAGTAATTGAATTTGTACTCTACAATTTGCATTGCATTGCATAATAATTCCCTTAAATCACAAGTTCGTCTTTTTAATGTGTTATTGTTTCCTGTCAATCTCCATCCAGAATTCAGAAGGATATAACATGAGCATCCCTATGCCAGGCCACCCAGTGAATTTTTCTGAAGTAACAATGGCACAGGCTCAGAAGGATGTGGCTAAACTTGAACAGCTTATTGATGCGCATGATGTTATTTTCCTACTAATGGACACTAGAGAGAGTCGATGGCTTCCTGCTGTCATTGCAGCCAGCAAGAGGAAGGTATTGTACGCATGCCTTGCTTATATCTTTGTCATTGTATTTTAGCTCTGGCATACTAACCAGCTCTGTGTACCTTTGGGGAAAAAAAAATATATCTTTATGGGAAATTGAAATGTCTGACCAATTCATTGTGCTTGTGCAGAAATTTTGTTTTCTTGTAGCCTCAAAGATTCTATATAAGCCAAAAAGAGAATTTTGAAGAGGAAATAGAAGTGTGATTCATAGAATGTTATGGGTTGGAAGGGACCTCTGGAGATCAACTAGTCCAAACCCTGTGTTCAAAACAAGACCAACTCAGAACGTGTTCCTCAGGGCCTTGTCTAGTTGGATTTTTGAGTAATTCCAAGGGTTAGTAGTATTAAAAGAAGTAATTTCACAGTAAGAGAATCATATTAAGGAGGAGTAGAGATATTACAATAATGATTGACTGATACGGGATATGAATTTTAGAAACTTGTTTCAAACCACGTTTTCAAAATAGATCTCAAATGCTAAAAGCACGGAAGTGGATTGTGATCTTCGGGCGTTAGTACTTTTTTTGGTCAAAAGTTACCTCTGGGTTTTTCTCACTGCTTTACTGGAAACCATACTGTTCTGTTGACCCAGTGTATCCATACTCATTTCCGGTAGTGTTGAACACTTCATGGATTTTTGTGACATAAAAGTGAAATCCTCCTGTTACAGGTAAAGAGAGATCAAAGGAGAGGGCTGCAGTAAATGGAATTAAAAATTCTGAATTATTTGTGTTTCTTATAGCGTGAATAAAATTTAGTGCCTAAACTTTCTAGATTATGCTCTTTATCTGAGATCAAGGAGACTGTATATGCACAAATGTTTGTGTAGTCAAAATGTTTTTTGTAGTCAAGTTTACATGATCCAAATTGATAAATAAAACATAAGCTTAACAAAATTTTCCCAGGAAAGTCAGAAAAACATATGGGGAGAAGACTTACAGCAATTTTTAGCCTTTTCTGCAAATTGTGTATCTTACGGAGAGTGGTGTTTCCCAAATACCTCCTTGTTTAGGATCAGATCAGATATGGGTTATGGAGCCTTTACTTTTGTGAGAATGTTGTTCTTGAGCTTGGTGTGACATCCAAAATTTCCTGTGAAAGAATGTTCTAAATCACAGAGTATTCTGAAAGCAGCATCTTTCTCCAAACTAATATAGTGTTGCAAATAGGGTTTTCCACAAGAATCCAACCAAATTATCCTTCTTAATTCTTTTAGGAACTTCACATTGTCATGTTTGCACAGTTAAAATTATACAAAATCAGGAAATGCATATGTTGAGCTTTTAACACATCAGCTTAACCACAGTGTACATCTTGTATATTTTGTGGCATAAACAAAATGTCTGTAGCAATTCATTAAGTTGTGAACTCAACACAACAGAGGAAAAGAAAGTAGTGTGTGTGACACAGCTGAGTCAGGGTTGTTGTTGGATTTTTAACTTTTGTACATCCTGAGTTCTGCAATATTTCAGCTATGACACCTTTAACTTTAATTTTCTAGTTGTTGTTAGTTGTCTGGTTTCTCTTGTTCATTTTTATACACGTTTCCAAAAAACCTGGACAGTAAGAAGAAGAGAGAATCCAGATTTCTTTGTGATGTTTCCAGCTATTTTTATCTTATAGATTCCAAGTATATTCCCCTTTCTCCTGAAGTTTACTTTGATGTAAACTTAACTAATTTTCCTCTCCACCCGCTTTGTGAGCAAGTTACTTTGAAGTCTGGCAGTTGTCTCTTAAGACCTAGCTTAAAGGGAAAAAAAATAATCCATTTTTCTGTATGTTTAAAAAATAAAACAAAAAACCCCAGCAATACCAGTACTTTAATAATTAGACTTCTGCTTTTCATTTTTGTTTTACAAAAGCTAAGTATATATTTCATTCTATTGTAACTGAAACTGCTCGTGGCATTTTATATGCCAACTTGAAATGGTATTCTATTTCCTGATGGAAATAAAGCATAAAAGAAGCATCCACTAAATTTAGTTAGTGGATACTGATTAATTAGAATTAGTAAAACTAATTAATTTTGATATAGATTTCTGATCATAAGCAGTAGGCTTGTGTGCCTGAATTGACTTTGGCAGTTCCAGTGAGCTTCCTTTTGCCAGTGAACCTCTGTCCGTATATACGGATTCACGTTGATTGTTGAATTTTTTTCAGTCCTTTCATGCACAGGTTCTAGTTATGGTGTGGGCATGGTGGATACATGTTTGGGGCCTTAGTTTCTGGAGCCACATAATATCAGAATCTGACAGTTTACATTTAGATTTGTGTTGTTTGTCTTCAGATATGCAAAGAAGATGACTTACATAGCATTTGAAACATTTTGGTACTCAGAGCTTCAGTGTACAGAACTTGCAGTGCACTTGAAAATTAATTGTGTTGGAACCAAAATAAGTTTCAATACTAGTAATTGTACCTATACTGGGCCTAATCTAGTGTAATCACACTATACTTCAGTGTGATATTAAGTGTTTGTGAAGCTACAATTTATCTTCACATGTAAACTAGCACAACACATTTAAGGAATTCCTGTTTCTCTTCTGGGATTTTTTTGCATGCAAGAGTGTATAGGCTTGTGTAACAATAAGAGGAAGTTGTTCATTTGTATCAAATTTTCCAGAAAGACACAGAAAAAGCTGTTTTTGTGGATTTCTGAGACAAAGGGTTTTTGTTTTTGTTTTTAATGCAAGACTAGCATTCTGCACCTATCAGAAAATTTGTTGTTTATGGCCAGGATGATAGATGTGCAATTAGTAGATCGTTCATTCATCTGCTGAATGTGTTTCTGGCAAATATTTTTAGTGTGGCTTATTAAATACATAAAAGCTGATTGTGGTTCTCATTTTTTTTGTTGGAAATAAAATTTAAGTTTGCAGTGAATAAAACTTGGAGGCCTTTTTTCCCCCCCCTCCCCTTTTGGCTCCCTTTGAGTATGTTGTTCTGTCCTTATTTTTCATAGTTGGTCATCAATGCTGCATTGGGTTTCGACACATTTGTTGTTATGAGACATGGACTAAAGAAACCAAAACAGCAAGGATCTGGTGATTCATATTTCAACAATGCCTCTGGTTCTTCTGATCTTCTGGGATCATCACTTTTTTCTAATATCCCTGGCTATAAACTGGGTTGCTACTTCTGCAATGATGTTGTGGCACCAGGGGATGTGAGTAGAACGTTATGCAAATAGTGAATATATCTCTCTCTCTTGCGGTGACTTGAATTTTTATTGCCTTTAAACGATATTTCATTAATTAATTCCTTTTATGTTGGAGGTATATGGCATTAAGAAATAGCTCATCTTTTATTAGGAATATCAGAGAAATTAACTGACTTGAACATAATTAGAGAGATTTTGTATAGTATGGCAACTAGTTACTTTGGAGTTATTTTTTTTCTTTTCTTTAGAATTGTCTTTGAATTGAATCTTTTTTAGTCTACCAGGGATCGGACATTGGATCAGCAGTGTACAGTCAGTCGTCCTGGATTAGCCATGATAGCTGGAGCTCTTGCCGTGGAATTAATGGTTTCTGTTTTGCAGCATCCAGAAGGGTGAGTCATTTTTGAGACAAGGAGTGGCGTTCAGAGGATGGTTTCCAAGAAAAAAGAACGTTTTTATGTAATCTTTTGGGAGAAGCCACAGGAAGTGCACGTTAAATATGACAAATGTGAGGTTTAATGTTGCGTTCCTGTAATGTATGGATCATTCCTATTACATTACTGTAATTTAGCAGTGTCTAAGGGGTAACTGAATGATCAAATCTTACCCCTTGGAGAGTGGCAGTTTTCCCTCTTTCTGAGCTTAAAATAGGAAGTACTGAAAATGTTTCAAAAGAAAGTTTCCTGTCAATGGATCTTGGCATTCCTTTGTTCAAGAGAGTGTTGGTGTGTAATGAGGAGCTATCCTAAGTACTTTTGTCACATGAAGGACTTCAGGATAAGACGCATATTGCAAAATCTTAGTTTATAAAGTTAGTGGGCCTGATACAGAAATTATTCTGTGAAATTCTCTAACCTGCAATTTAGGCTTGTTTTCTGGCTTTAAAATCTGTGAAAGAAAACATTATGATTTAGACATGAGTAGGTTGCAAGTCTCTGAGATTTTAATTCTGAAAGAGGATTCTTGTATTCCCATGCTGAATCTTAGTAACTATGAAACAGACTTTCCAGATAGGTTCCTTTCCAAATTCTAAACTCTAAACTGTAATGAAATGTCTTGAAGCTTACTGGAAATTTTGACCGTTTACAATGTTGTCCTGTTCTAATTTTCCTTGGATTTTTGGCAGTGGTTATGCTGTGGCCAGCAGTAGTGATGATAGAATGAATGAACCACCTACTTCTCTTGGACTTGTTCCTCATCAGGTAAGTAATCTGAGAGTAAATGCTTTTATTTATTCACTGAGCTGCTGGGGCTAATATAAGGTAAACATCACAGACTTTGCATACTTAACAAAATCATACTTCATGCTGATACCGTTCCCCCAAGGACTGACTCTCCGTGTTTGTAAAAAGGACGTTTACACAGACCAAGGTAGTGGTGTTTTTGGCAATGTTTTCTGTCCCAACACTGCCTACTTTCCAGGAATTTATTTGAAGAGAGGGAGCTGCTAGCAGGCAGCATATAAATAAAGCAACTTCTCACTTTTCTTTCCTTGTGAGGTGGCAGCATTCAGGTAGCCTGTATCAGAGCTGTGAATATAAGTGTCTGAAAGTTATTCGCTTTCTGGATCCTTTCTGAGGTGAAAACAAATTCAAAACCGGTCAAACCACAACTATCATAATTCCCCAAAATATTCATGTGTTTCTTATGCAATAGAGCAATCTTTATTGTCTTCTACTCAACACAAACTTCAGTTAAAAATACGTGTTTAGGATACAGTTTTTCGGGTTGCTGAATTTCCTGGAATTGTTCCTGTTTGATCACACAGAACACTTCTGCCCTGTTAACTACTTGCCTTGCCAGATGAATCAATTAATATAGAGACTACATTTTAAATTCACAGGATGCTGTCACTACAGTCATAGGAAACAGGCATGCTTTCTTTCTTATCTGACTTTGGGTTTCCTTCTTGGAAGAAGGAGTTTGAATGAAGAGTGTTTACCTTGTACACTAAATCAGGGATAAGGTAGCACTAAGCTATGGCACAGCATGGAAGACGGCGTGAAAGTGAAAGGAAGAGAAGGATATAAATTTGTGAGAGTTTTTACATACTTGGCCATTTTAGGCAGAGGACCAAGAGAACTCTTTGTCATAACTATTTTGCAATAGTAAATTATGGCTGAGAAGTGAATATGTGGAAAGTATAAGTGGTGAGCATAACAGAAGTTCAATATAAGCGTGTGTTTATACCGTTGGAATTTGACTTCCTTCATGCCAGCTCGTGTCCGTTCTGTTCAGTTTTACTGTTCTTCCAAGGCTGTTGATTTGGCAGGTTTTGCCAACTCTTTTTCAAAGTACGGACTTACTCAGGTGCATTGTCTACTGTTTTTCTTGTTCATTCTTTTATGAGCTAATTGTCTGATATCTTTATTTCTAAATAGCTCTGTTTACGTAGTGCTGCACTTGAAATAGCTTGTAAAGCATGTAGAAATCCTGCTTGTTGAAAGGTAAGCAGGCACTTATGTACAGCTCTAATTGCACATGGTGATGCACAGAATACTGAGGGGCGTGTACAGTGCCTTCTAATCCAAAGTTTACAAAGAAAATAAGCCCAAAATAAAACATAAAGCCAGAATTTAAGACAGTACATGAAGGCAGATAAAAGCAGCGTTTACCCAGATGGCTTACAAACTAACTAGGGCTTGAATAGGAATTGTGAAGGGATAGCAAGCTGGCCAGAGATTTGAGGTGGATCTTCCTAACCTTTTTCCTCATAATGTTTTTCCCAAGAAGGCGTTTCCCAAGTGTTATACAGTCTCAGTCTTTGTCGTAAACAGACTGAACATACTACCTGGGAATGTCTTGGAGTTCCCCGTATAACAGACCTACAAAAGGATTACCAAATAGTGATGAAAGATTCTACTTACATTTGCTGTCTCTCAAAGTATTTCGGACACATCTATAATGTAAATGGATTCTGAGTAGTGTATTAGTATGGATTGTGTTTTCATGATTTTGATGTCCACATTTGGTAGAACTATTATTTCAGTCTTGTGTTTAGTTCTTTTCAATTTTTACCAAACTTTGAAAGCAACTGGACTTTTTTAGTTGTCTTTGCCTCCATATTTATTTATGTTTTATCCTCTTCTGTGCTATGATGAATATGCACTTTTTGATATTTCATCTCAAAACCAATATCATAAAACTGCAGAATTGTGACAGACAGTAAAGAAGGGATGAAGTGGCTCCTATGTGACAAGCCAAATTTAATCTCTATTCAATAGCCTTGAATTTTTCCATTGGGTAGAGAGATGGGTAAGACGAATAAATGACTAAGATTCTTCAGTCTTATGTCTTAAAACATACCCCAGTGATTTGGAGTATATGGTCGAATTTAAAAAAAAATCTGACATTGATTCCATCAAAGCTTTTATGCTCAGTCCTTGTTCCATGTAAAAGCATACAGTTAAGCGGTACATTATGTATTTTTATATGTGTCTGTGTATGTATGCATGTGTGTGTATACACACATGAGGTAATTGAGTCTTTTGACTATTTGTGTTTGTGTGTGTGTGTGTTTGTGTTTTTTTTTTTTTTTTTTTTTTTTAAACAGAAGAGGCTGTTTGTAAATGTGGAATCAGAAAGACCTAATTTCTTTGTTTTCTTTTCTTTTCCTGGTGCTGGATTTTGTTTGAGAATAGCTGCGTTTTTGCATTTTACTCTTGTGTATGGCTTGGTACTTCTGCTAAAATACAATAACATTAATACTATTTGAATTGCTCTTGGCTTCCAAGATTTATGCCATTTGCATTGCATTAGATGTGTGGCGTGCATGTTGAAAGTGTTCTCCATGATAGACTTCAATCTTAGCTTAGTCATTATGTTTTGTGTTGCATTACTACTTAAGTTCTGTTCTTAGTGAGGTCTCTTTATTGTGGTAAGCCCTGTAAAGCACAGACTAAAAAAGATGGATCAGTACTTCAAAGAGTTCATAGTCTAAATAATCAAACCCTGCTCCAAAGTGTTTGCAGAACTATCCCTCTTAAAAGAAACAGTGGTCTAAGAGTTTAAAATTTTGCATCAGCAGTATATTAACAATGTAGTTTAGGGATCCACAGCAGTTGCATTTTCAGGTTATTTGTAAATAGAAGTGGGAAACAAAAAATGTGCTTAACTGATTATACCATCACTTTTTATTTTAACTTAATTTGGCAATCAAAAAACTTAAACTCCAGGTGGTGCTGTGCCTCCATTTATGTTTAAACAGTGCCGCATTTGTATGGTTTTGCTATTATTTGTATACAGAAAAACAGCACTCTCTTGCTTATAAGTTTAGTACAAAATAACAGCTGTAAATTTAGTACAGCCACTGCATTTAGAACAGTATTTCCTTAGTTATAGCTTTAAATTTTTTTTTTTTTTTTTTTACTGAATGTATGTTGTGCGGTTCATCTGGAATTGTGGAAATAAGGTTTTTGTAATTATAAAACAGTATTGTAATTTTTTTCCCTTCCTAGATACGTGGTTTTTTATCAAGATTTGATAATGTTCTTCCAGTCAGCCTGGCATTTGATAAGTGCACAGCCTGCTCTCCCAAAGTAAGTCCATGTTTGTTTGTAATTTATTTTTATGTACAGAATATGTCTTGCTGTAGGTCAGTCTTGGGGTTGCCAAGCACTGATTTGTATTTGATGTTTTCTCTCATTTCTCTCATTTCCTACCTATATATGATTCAGTCCTATGTTCTTACTTCAGCTAAACTTTTTTTTCATGCCTTTCTTAGCTAGCTGTTTTCTGAATTTCTGTAGTGCAATGTATGTGCATGCTATCTCCGCATAACATTTTGCTCACAGCTGAAGAAACCAAACAGAGATTAGGGACAACACATTACTGAAAACTTTTTATCACAAAGGTACTATCGAATACCTTTAGCTTTGTAGAAAGGAATAAAATTGGCATTTAGTTGTGATTTCTGACGTCTGATGAGTAAATGTGGGTTTTTTTTAAGCTCTTTTAAACTAAGTATATTTACAAATACATGAAGTTGTCTAGATTTGTTTCCTGGTACAAAATAGTGTATAATAATTGTGTTTAAGAAAAAAATTGCTTCCTAAACTTTTCAATAAAACAAAGACTGTTTCATTTTGATGCTGGTGTTGACAGTCCTGAGTCACCTAATGGATTTACAGTTGTTGCTGGGATCTGAGCTGTGTCTTGCCAGAACACTAGGGCAGGCCACTAATGTGTCTGCGTGAGGCCTTTTCTTCAGTCTTGGACTGGTTTCCTGTACTGTGGCCTTGAAAAGTTTTTCTGGCAAATTTTCTATGGCCATGTAGTATAAGTTCAAGAAGTTTTGACTGGGATATCTCGGTATATGAAGATTCTGAGGTTTGACTCATAATTTGGCCTGCTTGGGTGTGCCATTAATTCAGTCAAGTTTTATGTACTTAGGGACTCATTGCAAGAATTTCTTTCAATTTTTTTCACTGCACTTATCCTTCTTTCCAATAGTTATCCAAAACTCTTGAGGGACTCGGCATTTTCTTTTGAGAACTTAGACATCTTGCAAAAGGTCTTCTGTTACAGTATTTCTGTTATTTCTCTAGGCTGTCTGGGTACATTTTACATAACATTTTTAACGTCAGTTTTCTCCTCAAGAGTTGAAGCACTAAATTAAACTGCTATTAATTTTAGGAGCAGGCATCTACACTCTTGAATAGCTGAAAGCCTGGCAGGAGTTAAAAGCAACTGTTTTCTCATCTTTTCCTGAAGTAAGGTTTATATTACCTAGAGCATTCTGAGTCAAAAAATATTAGTCTATATATAAAAAAAGAAAAATGTGATTAATTCTACCTTATGATTGTGGAGCCTGAGAACTTAAATTGTTAGAATAAGCCTTTTATTTATTTATTTTTATCTCTCTGATCCAGGATATATTGATATGTAAAAACATACACTGATGTAGATAAATTAAATGCAGATATCAATTTTTTGTTAGCAAGTCATTTCCTCATGGTGGTCATTTTAAAAGAGCCCTGTTTTACACAAACAGAGCTCATGATTTAATAAAAACTGACTTGGATTTTAGCAGCTGTGCTATTCCCAGAGAGATCACTTTTCATGTGGTTTGAGTATTAAATTACTTTTGTGCTGAAAATGTTGCTTCATTGGCACACGTATTTCCTTACAGTAGAAACACAGCATTTGTTTACTTGGCTAACATTCAGTTTATTAGCATAAGAGTATGTCACACTGTATTATTTGGAAATCTAATGCTAATACTTTGAGATGACAAATCCAATTACACTTTAGTTGTACTCTGTATGTTGGGGGTGGGTTTTAGTGCAAGAATTTAGCATAATTTCACCGTGGTTTGTCAGATTTCCCCTAGAGTCAAACTTCTCGCACAGGAGAGAAAAGTACTTTTTCTAGTATAATTGAATTTGCTTGTACCTTATTTCTTTTCATCTTTCATTGTTCCTATTCATGAGTACTAGGGATTCTTTTAAGATTTTTAAAGAAATTAAAAAAAAAAGCAAGCAGCTGTACAGCTGGATAAGTTAGAAGCTGCTAATGATCTGCCCATTTAGAGATTAGATTCCATGACTTTTTGACTCATTCATGACTTCATTTTTCTGTTTTTGAAGCAGAAGAATCCAGACATTCAAGCAGCCAGCTATTCCTTACCCAGAACTGTTCTAAACAGGCTGCATGCCAGAGAGGCTTTCCACAGGCAGTTGTTCTGGAATTTTAGGATGGTCATAGCAGGAAACCAGTCTATTTTTATCCTGGGCCAAATTTCCCATGTGCGATTTCCCCCTCTGTCTTTTACTGGGTTCTACAGAAGCATATGCTAGAACAGCAGGTATCCTTTTTCAGAGCTAATGACTCTGCATTGCCAGTTTAGTAGTAGGTCTCAGGAGCACTTCTGAACATGTGCTTCCTCTTCTATGTAGGACTTGTTCTGTTACTGAGGAGGCAAAGACCAATGTTCTTTAACGCAGACATTTGTTTTTAATTACTGAATATGTTAGGCTTATTATGTATTGTACTAATTAAGGTTCTGTTTACCCTATTGATCTTTTATGGAAAGTCGGGAGCAAAGTGAGGCTCTTCTCTTAAAATATTATAGTGAGAAGCATTATAATCCCATAGAAAAGTAGACTGGTCGGGATCCTGCCGATGTCTGATCATGTGGATAGCTGCTCCTTGTAGGCAACCGGCTAAAGCCTTGTAACATGAATGCTAAATATAATCTTTTATAATGCAAGATTGCTAGTGTTTATAAGGTAATGAAAACATTCTTGTTATCGCTCTCCCTTGTGCGTTAGGGAATGAACCAGAGGACCTCACAGAATCACAAAATTTAGTGTCAGGAAAGATTGTTGCTACTCACTGTGGTGGATGTACCTGTCCGCTTTTCTTTCACATATAGCTTACAGATTGTGTTTTCTCCAGAGTTCAGATTTTATGTCATGTTTCAGAAAGGTATCATGTTTTCTTTAAATACATGCATTAAATACATGCATTACTTTCTCTGCTGACTTTATTCTGACGTGTGATTGTCTCCACTGTTAAATAAGAAAAAAAAATCATAAGTATCTCTGCTAGTATTCAAGTTCCTTCTCAACTTTCTATGCAATATGCTGAAAAACTGAGCTGCATAAGTAATAGTTTTTCAACCAGTGAGTATTATTATTGACTTACTTTTAAATGCTTTTCAGTTTTACTGCTTTTCCATGAGGGGTGCACATCAGAGCTGGAGATGGTATTCCGACCACTATATTACCGTTTCTGTTTAGAGTCAAGATGTTTCCCTACTATTACAGATGTTTTCCCTTTTTAATATCCCAGGAATACATTAAACACTTTTGTGTGACATTCACTGAGTTCTTGTGTCACATAAGTTATTTATGCCTATTTCAGTTTTGAAATCTATCATCATGCAGGCATTACAATACTTCTATTGTTCTCATCTGCTAACTCCATTGCATTCTTTTTTACTTTAAATGGTTCAGATTTATTAGAGTAACCTGCACTATTTAGTAACTTACTGATTTTTTTTTTTCCCCCCCTCTCAAAATATTGCCAGTTGAGATAATTCTAATGTAGATTCCAGCAAGACCCTTTATATTTGCCACAGCTTGCATTCAGGAATGGTGTTCATATTTGCTTTCTCCCAGTAATAACTTATTATAAGACCAGCAAGACTGCTTTTAAACTGTCTATATTATGTATTTTTCAATTCAAGTATTGTGCTGGTGTTAAATAGAGATGTATAAGTCATGAGGAAAAAAGATTTGGTCTTTTTCTTATTTAAGAAAGTTAATTGTGGCATAGCTTGCAGAAATGATCAAGGAGTTGGGGAGAAATGTTTGTCCTTCAAGAACGAACACTGAGAAGATGTAAAAGAATGTTTAAAATGAGTTGTTTTTGTAGCTGTGTTGTAACATTAAGTCTCTGTAATTGAGCCCCTTATAAATTTCCTTATTTCCTGAATTTACCTATGCCAAACGTTTAACATTTCCGTGTACAGTGCCGCCCCTGCATTTGTAGGGGTAGATTTCATTCAGACCTAAAGACTGCATCATAAATATACGTAAGCATATATTCAGCAGACTGAGTTAAATGTAACATTTTTATCCTTCTTAAGGTAGCATACAGAATTACTTTTTGGTAAGTGACTTATGCAGACTTGTCACTCTCTCCCCCTCCCCCAAAAGAAAAAGCCGTCATAACTGGGGGGAGCAAGAGGCAGGATTATTTTGCCCATAACTTTCAAAACTCCAGGACATCTTTTCTACTTTATATATGAATTTTGAATTCAATGGGAAAAACGGAAATATATTTTCAAAGTTAACGGTGATGAGGATGGTTTTACTGCTGGTTGGCTGAAGGACACATTCTTGAGAGTAATGCTTGGTCTTATTATTTTAAAAATATTAAATTTTTATAATGAAAACAGGTATTAACAAAATATAATGTAGTTTGTCCCAAGTAGTTTGTCCCAAGTAGTTTGTCCCAAGTAGTTTGTCCCAAGTAGTTTGTCCCAAGTAGTTTGTCCCAAGTAGTTTGTCCCAAGTAGTTTGTCCCAAGTAGTTTGTCCCAAGTAGTTTGTCCCAAGTAGTTTGTCCCAAGTAGTTTGTCCCAAGTAGTTTGTCCCAAGTAGTTTGTCCCAAGTAGTTTGTCCCAAGTAGTTTGTCCCAAGTAGTTTGTCCCAAGTAGTTTGTCCCAAGTAGTTTGTCCCAAGTAGTTTGTCCCAAGTAGTTTGTCCCAAGTAGTTTGTCCCAAGTAGTTTGTCCCAAGTAGTTTGTCCCAAGTAGTTTGTCCCAAGTAGTTTGTCCCAAGTAGTTTGTCCCAAGTAGTTTGTCCCAAGTAGTTTGTCCCAAGTAGTTTGTCCCAAGTAGTTTGTCCCAAGTAGTTTGTCCCAAGTAGTTTGTCCCAAGTAGTTTGTCCCAAGTAGTTTGTCCCAAGTAGTTTGTCCCAAGTAGTTTGTCCCAAGTAGTTTGTCCCAAGTAGTTTGTCCCAAGTAGTTTGTCCCAAGTAGTTTGTCCCAAGTAGTTTGTCCCAAGTAGTTTGTCCCAAGTAGTTTGTCCCA